AGCGAACAAACAAGCATGGACCAATATTATCCATAACCGAATTCTGATGGCACTGACCATGCGAAACCAAGGTGAAGGTCAAGTTGCTGAAGACCTCGCTGAGGGATTGATGGGCGAGTGGACGCCGTGTTCGGCACTGAGGTTCTATGGGAAGAACGATCCGCTCGCAGAATACCTCAGCTTCTGCTTTTTGCCAAAAGAGTCCCAACTGGAGAAGGTCATGTTGCCGGGAGTAATCCCGAGCCCAGTCATCTGGATTCTTGTCTCCGATTCGTCATGTGCACTGATCACTGGACGTAGGCACGCCCTCAAGAGGTACGACCTGTCTGAGCATTTTCAGCAGCACAGGCCTGGGTATGTGTCGGAGTTTATCCATGAGATGCTCTGGGGAAAGACCCTCCAACGCCTGGTCAAACGTGGGATTGAACTGGCCGCGGACGCCCGCGAGCGACATGGTCCTGGGGCCCGCATCAACCTGCATTTGTCCTGGTTTGGGGATGAATTGGTAAGGGAGAATGGGATTGCTCAAGATCCAAACTGGCCATACGACGGCCCCAACGGCCGACGCTCCTTGATGATTGCGAACGCCATTTGACATGGTATGTCACCAAAGCCAAGGAGCTGGATTTGCAATCGGCCGGTCTTGCGACCGCGCCCTGGTCTGCTGACTATGGCATTCACCCCATCTTTGACCAGTTCTTCGAGGCATTGGAACCAAAGTTCAAGATGCTGACCTGCAGCCCGCAAGGGCTTGCCAACCCACGCTACCCATGGTTGCGCGCCAAAGGGTACGCCGATGCGATGGAGTTCAAGGATGATGGGCACTTTGTCAACTCCGAGGAGAATCGTGTCAGGCTCTCTGCGTATTGGACGGCAACAATGTTTGCCATCGACTGTGGGTGGAACGTTGGCAGGGTTGGCCTAGAACTTTTGGGACTTGAACAGGAGACTTGGGACCACCTGAAACGCAACGTCAATTTCGTACTTGATGCTTTGCCGGTTTCATACCAAGAAAAGGTGGCTGAGATTACGAAGCTGTTGTTCGGTGAATCGCGCAGGCACATCATCCAGGTTGGGAAGTCTTTCACAGTCGAGGATGTCAAGGCCCAGCAGCCCGATACGCAGGACTTCTTGGACGTGAAGAACCTTGCTCCAGGCATGTTTGCAACTCCTCCAAAGGAAGATCCACCGAAATCGGCCGCTGGTGACAGCGCGCCCGCAGCTTCCGGCCCAGTCTCAATTACTGTTCAGACGCCTGAGGTCTTGTTGAAGTCAAAGCCCAAGGCAGCACCTGAGCCTGCATCCGCATCTGCTGCAGCTGCAGGACCCAGCTCAAGCACGTACCGGCCGCAGGCAACTGCGAGCTTAACCGATGAGAATGTCCAGGGTTATGTCAAGGCACATTGGATGGAAGACCACCTTCCTGCATACCAATATACCATGGTGACTAACTCAGAGGGGAATGAAGTACCCGGCATCCTTTTCAACGGTACTGCTTACGAGTTGGAACTCATTGGTGCATCGGATGTGGAAACTCTTGCAAAACAGATTCGTGTCGACAAAGGCTGTGCTGATTTTGCCACGCGTGTGAACAAGGTGTGCAGGGGTCATGCGTCATGTTCCAAAGTCCCGATGGACAAAGATCTTTGGATTGATTTGGAAGCATTCGCAAAAGCCTTCCGCAAGGAAGTGCCCCCTGATGTGTTCATCACGGTTGCAAACCTGTTTGGCACTGCAATGAAGGTTGACAAGCATTTCCAGTTTCTCTGTGCCCGCATCCCTGATATTCCCTATGAAAACAACCTTGGGATGATTTTTGTGCCAATCAAGATCCGTGCGATTCCGAAATTGCCCTGAAGAATGCAGGTGGCTTGTATGCAAACTCCACTTTGATCTATTGTGCCGACAACGTGTCCCCTGAACGAAAGGCCGCCTTCGCAGGCGTGCCCATCTGTGCAATGACTGAGGTCCCTGATGTTGCATATCATCGCACGATGAAGAGCGACTGGAAGAGCATCGCCAAAAGCGGTCTTATCCCTGGAGGTGGTGACTCAGTCAATAGCGGTCGCGCCCACGTTTACATGTCGGAGCACCGCATAGGCACGGATGGGTACAGGTCAGGGCTTCGTGCCAAGTGCCCGATCGAGATAAAGATCGCCATGAAGCAGGCCGTTCAAGGAGGTGTCATTTTCAGCCGTACCGACATGGACGGCATCCTGACTTCTGAAAAGATTCCGCCCCAGTATATCATCAGCATTGCCGAGGACAACAAGGTGATTTGGTCCCGCGCCGAGAGCAACCTCGAGCCCACCACTTGGACAAGCGCGGAAGCATCAACATCACCAACTTCTGGAGTCCGACTTGTGGCACGCGATGATGCGAAATCTCCTCAGGATGATCAGATGGACGATGACACCGGCACAGGGCAACCTGATGCTCGATCCGCATATGATGATGCTGCTGCAGATGACCGCATGCAAGTTGACCAGCCACCCGCACGGGTGCGCCGCGTTTACCTTGCTCCAAAGTACGTTGAGCCTTTCACAGGCGAATGCCCATTGTGTTTGGTTGAATACGTCAGTGATCAGGTGACATGCAGCACGTGCGGCTACGAGCCTTTGCCTGTTGATGAGTCAGGCGAGCCGAAGAAGCAGCCCAATCGCCGAACCCGCATCTTGGAGAAGCGCATGCAAAAGCTCGCAGGCTTTGGGATGTACGGCAAGGTGAACTCCACGTTGCTAGCCACTCTCACGAGTGAGCAGGCAGACATGCTCAGGCAGGAGATGGGTTCGAGAGGGATCACTAGCATCGAGTCGTCAGTGATCAAAGAATGCAGAGATCGCCACAAGAGGGCAAAGCAGCTGGGGTACGAAGATGTCGAGGACAGGTACGCCAGCGATGTGACCTTCTGCGATCGAATGTATGAGGAAGGCAGAGGGTTGAACGATTGCATCTTCGATGACATGTTCGCCTATGCAAATCTGCCTGATACTCCACGCTCTCGTGTCCAAATATCAGCTGGCGTCGCCGCCAATGCCGAGCATCAGAACTGCCTGTCCAAGCTCATCTATATGAGCCAGCCACGTGGAACAGAGGGCTTCCCCGTTGAGTTTCGCAAAACATGGACCAAGGTCTGGGGATTCATGTTCGGCCGCCACATCTTCACCGAGGAGGAGTACGTCAGCTATGTGGGTCGCAGAAATGCATACCGAGGCCTTTTGACTTGGAAAGGGACTGTCACTGTGCCGTTTGATGGAACTCAAGCTTTTCTGGACAAGGTGTACGAAGAGAACCTACCATTGGTTCGGGGCAACCTTGAACGCAAAGAAAAGCAGAGCGCCGCAGCAAAGGCAGGTGGTCCTGGAGGTCAAAAGGCCGACCCCACGGTCGAGCCCACAGTTGAGCGCAAGCGCAAAGCTGAAGCTGATGCAAGTGCCACCACGACGGGATTTGAAACAACTGCCGCATCCAGCTCTGCGCAAGCAGACGCCTCATCCGGTGCCACACCGTTCCTTGTGCCAGATCCACCAACCCCGAAGAGCGGAGCAAGACCATTCTTGGAGCCTGAGACGACTACCACTGCATCAAAGGCAGCAAGTCTCGCAACATCAAAGGCTGCAAGCTCCGGTCGCCCGGATGCCTCTTGGAGTTGGAATCGTGATCACTATGATGCCCGCCGAGAATGGAGTTTCTGGCGTGGAGCGTGGTATTTCCGCGATGAGGCCGGCGGCCGATGGATTTATTGGAACCGCTAGACAGCAATGATCTTTGTATAGCTTCTGTGCGAGATGTGGCGTGGTAATTTGCCTTCCTCGCTTTGCTGCGATTGGTTTTACGGGCTTGAGCTTTTTAGAGGGACCTTTGAAAGACTGCACAAAAACTTCCAAAAGCCAAATAAAGACAATCCGGCTACCCGCAAGGGTATGCCCACACGGATATTCGTTCTCCGCAGTCGTCCCTGCTCGCCCGAGGGGGGTGTAAAAACTCCTGCAGTAAAACCATATATGTAGTGTATATATCATTGACTGTCATGCAGCGTTGGTTCAAAAGTGCTAGCAGCTTAAAGGTTTTAACTGTATTTCACCCCATTAGTGGCTGACCTGGTAAAATACAATCGCAAGGCGAGTTGTCAAACATGTAGATGCTGTAAGCAACTGTCGCTTTCTGCATTGTTTACAAAGTTCTGTATCAGAGAGATTCACATGTCAGAGTTAAATGTCATGTGTTCTCCGGATTTCAGTGATCACGATTTGAACGGTAGAGCCCTGGATGAAGACGCCAGCTTTGATCTGTCTCTGTTTCCAGGCCTTGGCCGAGGCGCTGAAGACAAATGCGTCCGTCAAGAACATCGATTTGCGACTCAACGAGATTGGTGCCGAGGGGGCCAAGGCCTGGTGTGTGTGATGGGTTCCGCAGAATCGCAGAATGCTGCTGCATGTCATGATGTCACTTTCCCATACTTTCCCGGCATCCTGTGACAGTGACCAGTTTGGATGGTTTGGAGGTGCTGGAGTTTCGTCATTCATGGTTGATCGAGGAGACTTCTTCGAACATGTAGATGATGTAGATGGTGAATGAAAGTGTGGATTTTTGGGTTGATTGCCATTGTTTGCTAAGTTTCGCATCAGTTAAATGTTTTTTTTCATATTTGCATATATTTGTTCTCAGATGTTCTCAGGATTTCAGTGATCAGGTTTTGACGGTAGAACCCACCGCTGAATGCTTCTGTTTTCATATGTTTTCGACATCCTTTGACAGTGACAAGTTTGGATGGTTTGGAGGTCCTGTAGTTTCATCATTCATTTTTCATCGCAAGGAGAGTTGTCAAATATGTAGATGCTGTCAGCAACTGTCGCTTTCTGCATTGTTTGCTAAGTTCTGTATCAGAGAGATTCACATGTCAGAGTTAAATGTCATGTGTTCTCCGGATTTCAGTGATCACGATTTGAACGGTAGAGCCCTGGATGAAGACGCCAGCTTTGATCTGTCTCTGTTTCCAGGCCTTGGCCGAGGCGCTGAAGACAAATGCGTCCGTCAAGAACATCGATTTGCGACTCAACGAGATTGGTGCCGAGGGGGCCAAGGCCTGGTGTGTGGGATGGGCTCCGCAGAATCGCTGAATGCTGCTGCATGTCATGATGTCACTTTCCCATACTTTCCCGGCATCCTGTGACAGTGACAAGTTTGGACGCTTTGGAGATGGTTGATCGAGGAGACTTCTTCGAACATGTAGATGATGTAGATGGTGAATGAAAGTGCGGATTTCTGGGTTGATTGCCATTGTTTGCTAAGTTTCGCATCAGAGAGATTCACATGTCTGAGTTAAATGTAATTGTTTCATATTTGCATATATTTGTTCTCAGATGTTCTCAGGATTTCAGTGATCAGGTTTTGACGGTAGAGCCCACCGCTGAATGCTTCTGTTTTCATATGTTTTCGACATCCTTTGACAGTGACAAGTTTGGATGGTTTGGAGGTCCTGTAGTTTCATCATTCATCTTTCATCGCAAGGAGAGTTGTCAAATATGTAGATGCTGTCAGCAACTGTCGCTTTCTGCATTGTTTGCTAAGTTCTGTATCAGAGAGATTCACATGTCAGACTTAAATGTCATGTGTTCTCCGGTTTTCAGTGATCATGATTTGAACAGTATAGCCCGGGATGAAGACGCCAGCCTTGCTCTGTCTCCATTTCCAGGCCTTGGCCGAGGCGCTGAAGATAAACTCGTCCGTCGAGAACATCAATTTGGCAGACAACAAGATTGGTGCCGAGGGGGCCGAGGCCTGGTGTGTGGGATGGGCGCCGCAGAATCGCTGAATGCTGCGGCATGTCATGATGTCATGTCCCCGACATCCTTTGACCGTGACAAGTTTGGATGGTTTGGAGGTCCTGTAGTTTCATCATTCATCTTTCATCGCAAGGAGAGTTGTCAAATATGTAGATGCTGTCAGCAACTGTCGCTTTCTGCATTGTTTGCTAAGTTCTGTATCAGAGAGATTCACATGTCAGAGTTAAATGTCATGTGTTCTCCGGATTTCAGTGATCACGATTTGAACGGTAGAGCCCTGGATGAAGACGCCAGCCTTGCTCTGTCTCCGTTTCCAGGCCTTGGCCGAGGCGCTGAAGATAAACGGGCCCGTCACGAACATCAATTTGACAGTCAACAAGATTGGCGACGAGGGCGCCAAGGCCTGGTGTGTGGGATGGGCTCTTCTGAATCGCTGAATGCTGCGGCATGTCATGATGTCACTTTCCCATACTTTCCCGGCATCCTGTGACAGTGACAAGTTTGGATGGTTTGGAGGTGCTGTAGTTTCATCATTCATCTTTCATCGCAAGGAAAGGTGTCAAATATGTAGATGCTGTAAGCATCTGTCGCTTTCTGCATTGTTTGCTAAGTTCTGTATCAGAGAGATTCACATGTCAGAGTTAAATGTCATGTGTTCTCCGGATTTCAGTGATCACGATTTGAACGGTAGAGCCCTGGATGAAGACGCCAGCCTTGATCTGTCTCTGTTTCCAGGCCTTGGCCGAGGCGCTGAAGACAAACTCGTCCGTCGCGAACATCGATTTGCGAGAAAACAAGATTGGCGCTGAGGGTGCCAAGGCCTGGTGTGTGGGATGGGCTCCGCTGAATCGCTGAATGCTGCTGCATGTCATGATGTCATGTTTTCGAGATCCTCTTACAGTGAGAAGTTTGGATGGTTTGCAGGTGCTGTAGTTTCATCATTCATCTCTGTTCAAGGCTAGTTGTCAAATATGTAGATGCTGCAAGCAACTGTTGATTTCTGGATTGTTTTTGCAAGGGTTCAATCAGAGAGATTTGCAGGTCTTAGTTAAATTAAACAGATCTAAGGTTTTGTCTGTAGGGCGCTTAAAATCTAGACGCCAACCTTGATCTGTCGCCGCCTCCAGGCCTTGGCCGAGGCACTGCAGATCAATAAGTCCGTCATGAACATCGACTGGGAAGGCAACGACATTGGTCCCCAGGGTGCCAAGGCCTGGTGTGCGGTTGTCTCCGTTGAATGCTGCGACATGTATTCATATCATGTCCTCGACATTCTTTGACAGAAAGAAGTTTTGTCTCTTTGGAGGTGCTGTAGTTTCATCGTTCATCTCTGATCGAGAAAGGTTGTCAAATATGTAGAGGCTGTAAGCAACTGTTGATTTCTGGATTGTTTGCCAAGTCTTGAATCAGAGAGATTGACATGTCTCAGTGAAATGTCATTTTGTTTTGACCATGGAGCCCTCGAGCAAGACGCCGACCTTGATATGTCGCTGCCTCCAGGCTTTGACCGAGGCACTGCAGATCAACAAGTCCATGACGAATATCGCTTTGCAATACCAACCAGATTGGCGCTGAGGGTGACAAGGCCTGGTGTGTGGTGGGCTTTACAGAATACTCGCTGAATGCTGCGGCATGTATTGATGTCATTTTTTGACAGTCAGACGTAGCATTGCAGCCTCATTGTTTTCTCTTTTGACGTGAGTGAATAGACATGCTCCTGGTCAATGAATTAAAGCAGCATCCAGGCAAATTGAATCCAGGTTCTTCATCCTTAGGAATCCGGAGGAGACCTCCTCTACCAATTGATCTGGGATATCATATAATTATCTTCATCCATTTGCAGTTAGATTACATTTCCGAATTTCCGTTTGATGTAGAATGAGCTGGAGATGCATTTCCTTTTGCTATGTTTTGATCAAATCTAGGCATTTTTACAACAGGAATCACATCCGCAGTTAATTCCAGGAAATCTTGCTGCAGAGAACCATTCCAGAGTTCAATATAACAGACTGATATAAAGATTTTCTGAATTCAATAAGAGGTCGCTTCAGCAGAGGATGTGATTCCTTCAGGGTGACTCCAGGGTGTCTCACATGTTTCCTTTGAAGGCTCCATGTTTTCTGATCAATGTGTGATCAATGTGTTTGATTTTGTGCTGCAAACCGTTGAAGGCTGGCAGGCACGGCGGACAGTTTTTACAGACACTTTGGTCCGACCCGCTTTCCCCATGGCATGCCCTTAGCACATGTTGGCAGGAAGAGAGTGACAGGCACACGCGCAGAACTCCTTTCGAAACTCCAGTCCGTCTCCAGGCCCGTTTCCCGTGACAATGGCGACAGTTTTTAATTCAAGTGTCTATGTACACGGATCGCGCTCATGCGTGAAAATGTGCATGCCCTTAATCACATACAGGTTAAGTTCTTTCCACTTTAAAAGGCTATGGCCAGGTTTCAATTCACACTGCCTTTTGACTGAAAGTCTTGATCCAGGCCTTGGCCGAGGCGCTGAAGATAAAGTCGTCCGTCACGAACATCCATTTGGGATGCAACGACATTGGCGACGAGGGCGCCAAGGCCTGGTGTGTGGTGGGCTCCACTGAATGCTGCGGCGATTTGATGGAAGATGTCATGTCCCGGACATCCTGTGACAGTGACAAGTTTGAAGTTTGGAGGTGCTGTAGTTTCATCGTTCATCTTTGATCGAGTTGAGTTGTCAGCAAATGTAGATGCTGAATGGGGATTGTTTTTTCAAGTTTTGAATCAGACAGATTCGACATGTCTCAGTTGAATGTCCTTTTTTTGAGCATTTCAGAAATCAGGTGTTGTCCGAAGGGCCCTCGAACAAGACGCCAACCTTGACCTGTCGCTGCCTCCAGGCCTTGGCCGAGGTGCTGAAGATAAACGCGTCTGTCGCAAACATCAATTTGATCTACAACGAGATTGGTGCCGAGGGCGCCAAGGCCTGGTGTGTGGTGGGCTCCACTGAATGCTGCGGTGATTTGATGGAAGATGTCATGTCCCGGACATCCTGTGACAGTGACAAGTTTGAAGTTTGGAGGTGCTGTAGTTTCATCGTTCATCTTTGATCGAGTTGAGTTGTCAGCAAATTAAAGTGTAGATGCTGAATAAAACGGTGGATTTCTGGATTGTTTTTTCAGGTTTCAATTCAGAGAGATTGGACATGTCTCAGTTGAATGTCCTTTTTTTCTGAGCATTTCAGAAATCAGGTTTTGACGGTAGAACCACGAACAAGATGCCAGCCTTGATCTGTTGCTGCCTCCAGGCCTTGGCTGAGGCACTCAAAATCAACAAGTCCATCACGAACATCAAGTTGGGAGGGAACCAGATTGGTGCCGAGGGCGCCAAGGCCTGGTGTGTGGCGGGCTCCGCAGAATGCTGCGGCGATTTGATGGAAGATGTCATGTCCCGGACATCCTGTGACAGTGACAGTGACGGTTTGGAGGTGCTGTAGTTTCATCATTCATCTCTGATCGAGTTGAGTTGTCAGCAAATATGTAGATGCTGAATGGGGATTGTTTTTCCAAGTTTTGAATCAGAGAGATTCGATATCTCTCAGTTGAATGTGAATTGTTCGTGGGATTTCAGTGATCAGGTTTTGACGGTAGAACCACGAACGAGATGCCAGCCAGCCTTGATCTATCTCTGCCTCTAGGCCTTGGCCGAGGCGCTTAAAATCAACAAGTGCGTTACGGAGATCCTTTTGTATGAAAACCAGATTGGCGACGAGGGGGCCAAGGCCTGGTGTGTGGTGGGCTCCGCAGAATCGCTGAATGCTGCGGCATGTCATGCTGTCATATTTTCGACATCCTTTGACAGTGAGAAGTTTGGATGGTTTGGAGGTGTTGTAGTTTCATCGTTCATCTCGGATCGAGTTGAGTTGTCAAATACTCCCAATCCAGCTGTATGGAGATGCTGAATGAAACCGTGGATTTCTGGGTCGTTTTTCCAAGTTTTGAATCAGAGAGATTGGACATGTCTAAGTTGAATGTCCTTTTTTTTTATTTTATCTTTTTTTAAGCATTTCAGAAATCAGGTTTTGTCTGTAGGGCCCTTAAAATCTAAACGCCAACTCACTGCATACAGGCCTTGGCTGAGGCACTTAAAATCAACAAGTCCATCACGAACATCAATTTGGGAGGGAACCAGATTGGTGCCGAGGGCGCCAAGGCCTGGTGTGTGGCGGGCTCCGCAGAATGCTGCGGCGATTTGATGGAAGATGTCATGTCCCGGACATCCTGTGACAGTGACAGTGACGGTTTGGAGGTGCTGTAGTTTCATCATTCATCTCTGATCGAGTTGAGTTGTCAGCAAATATGTAGATGCTGAATTGGGATTGTTTTTCCAAGTTTTGAATCAGAGAGATTCGATATCTCTCAGTTGAATGTGAATTGTTCGTGGGATTTCAGTGATCAGGTTTTGACGGTAGACACCACGAACGAGATGCCAACCTTAATCTGTCGCTGCCTCCAGGCCTTGGCCGAGGCACTGAAGATAAACGGGTCCGTCACGAACATCCTTTTGTACAACAACCAGATTGGCGACGAGGGCACCAAGGCCTGGTGTGTGGTGGGCTCCGCAGAATCGCTGAATGCTGTGGCATGTCATGATGTCATGTTTTCGACATCCTTTGACAGTGAGAAGTTTGTATGGTTTGGAGGTGCTCTAGTTTCATCGTTCATGTCGGACCGAGTGGAGTTGTCAAAGACTCCCGATCCAGCTGTATGTAGATGCTGAATGAAACTGTGGATTTCTGGATGTTTTTTCCAAGTTTAGAATCAGAGAGATTCGATATGTCTCAGTTGAATGTGAATTGTTCGTGGGATTTCAGTGATCAGGTTTTGATGGTAGAAACCACGAACGAGATGCCAACCTTAATCTGTCGCTGCCTCCAGGCCTTGGCCGAGGCACTGAAGATAAACGCCTCTGTTGCAAACATCGATTTGGACAACAACCAGATTGGCGACGAGGGCGCCAAGGCCTGGTGTGTGGTGGGCTCGGCTGAATGCTGCAGCATGTCATGATGTAATGTTTTCGACATCCTTTGACGGTGAGAAGTTTGGCTGGTTTGGAGGTGCTGTAGTTTCATCGTTCATCTCGGATCGAGTTGAGTTGTCAAATACTCCCAATCCAGCTGTATGTCATACTGTATGTAGATGCTGAATGAAACCGTGGATTTCTGGGTCGTTTTTCCAGGTTTTGAATCAGAGAGATTCGACATGTCTCAGTTGAATGTCAATTGTTCGCGGGATTTCAGAAATCAGGTTTTGACGGTAGAACCACGAACGAGATGCCAGCCAGCCTTGATCTATCTCTGCCTCCAGGCCTTGGCCGAGGCGCTTAAAATCAACAAGTGCGTTACGGAGATCCTTTTGTATAAAAACCAGATTGGCGACGAGGGGGCCAAGGCCTGGTGTGTGTGGTGGGCTCCGCAGAATCGCTGAATGCTGTGGTGTCATGCTGTCATATTTTCGACAGCCTGTGACAGTGAGAAGTTTGGATGGTTTGGAGGTGCTGGAGTTTCATTGTTCTCGGATCGAGAGTTGTCCAATCTGCTGCATTCTGCTGTCCGCTGGCGACTGATTCGTCAACCAAACCAGGCCCTGACGGAGGCGATAGAGGAGCGAAACAGGAAGGGCGTTCCCTTGACGTGTTCCTGAGGAGGAGGAGGAGGAGGAGTGGTGAGGCCGGGAAAGCTCTGGGGTGAGGCCATGGATCCCCTTTTTAGGCCGAGATGGACCCTCGGAGGTGATTGAGCAGGTCTCTCTATTTCTGAATGTTTTGATGGATTTGCTGAGTTTCTTTTTCCTGCACGAAAGGCTTGATGCAGAAATGCAAGGCTTCCAGAATTTGGATGAATCAGCGATTAATCAACTAGGGTCCTTCAGATTCAGCCTGCAGGTTGCTGCGCTGGAATTATCCGAAACCTGGAGTTGCTATCATTGGACAGGAGAAGACAGGTCTCACACGCTCCGGCTCTCACACACGATGCTGTCCGGAGCCATGCAGAAGTATGATAGAGAGCACTCAATGTGTGGAGGACTGGAGACAGTCCCATGCAACTGCGAATCAAAATTGTGTCTCTGAAGGCAGCTCTGAAGTCTCGGGCCATACATTGATCATACTGTACCAAATCCCAACATTCCAGAAGCCGAACGATTCACACCTTACACAACAAATCTCAGAAGTATTCACATCGAGCTGGTCTCAGGGTATGATGAAGAAATCAGTGGATCTGGGAGGAAGCACCAACTTCAAGCCAGGAGAACTTCTGGATCATGGGCATATAGAATCAATGGCCAATCCATTCACAATCCATTCACACCTCACCATGTGACAGATTCAATCTCATGGTACGCTCTAGCTTCGATACTTTGGAGATCTTTGGAGTATGTAAATGTAGTATAATGTAGTCAAAAGATGTGGAAAACCAATGTTTGCATACTCTCACGTGCTTGCAGATCAAGATGGTAGCTGCTATGAACTCCAGTGTTGCAGTAATCTGTGTGCTGTCGTTGCCAAGTCTCGCTGGCTCCCCCATTCTGTGGTTCTTACATCCAGACATAAAGCATCCAGCTACTGTAGTCAGTCATATTTTCATAGTTTTTCCATGTTTTTTGATCCGACTCATTCGGTCATCCTTCGTTCCAAATTCATCCAAATTCATCTAAATTCACTATGTTGACGATGGTCATAGTCGATGGCAAATCCTAGGTGCCAGGATGAATATCTTGAATGTTCTAGAATAGTATGGATAGTGTTCCTGCTTTCACAATAAAGCAGCGCTCATCCAAGCATTGAACTTTTCTCTCGAACATTGAAACCGTACAAGAAACGCGCAAGCAGACGCAGTCACAGCTCCAAAAACCGGGCATGCCGTGCCGTGCCGTTGCCGTAAGCACGCTGCCTCCTGCGTCCAGCAGCTCGCCACCCAGTTGGTTTCCGGCATCTCTGGTTGTTGGTCTCAGAGGTTTTTTTCCGTTCACACCCCGTACTTTGCCGGTTGACAAATTTGACAAGTTCTCAAGTCAAAGGTTCTAGTTGTGGTTTTGTCAGTCTTCCCACCTGTGCCAGGTATTTCTCCGACCGCAGGTAGTGGCAGATTGTGAAGTCTCAGGCTGGCTTGGGCGCGGTATGATGGGGTCCAACCTCGGTGATGGCTGATTTGATGGTCGAGTGGTTTCAATCCAGTTCTGATCCGTGGGATGATCCTCCAAACTCCCACAGCTCTCATGCGGCACAAGAGTCAGTTTCAGGAGCCAGTTTGGATATGGTCGAGGAGTGTTTCGGATATGTTTTGAGGCTTTGAGGAGCGTGTATTTTCTAAACTGAGATCATTGGGTATTTCGAGCTTACTGATTACTGATTACTGGCTGCCTCATGTTCCCGCTGCGTGTTCCGCGCAAGCCAGGGATATGACACCGCTGTGATCGTGGCACCAAAAAAAAGGGAGCCATCGGGGGCTGGTGAAAGTCCAGCGATGTGGCATGGTGTGGCGACACTTCGGTCATCATGGCCATGGACAGCTGAGAAATCCCCATCCAAAATGGAGGTTTATAGCTGGGATAACATACAAATGGATACAAATGGGTGATTTTCCATCAGGTTTGCCTACTGGATCCTACTGGATGAATTTTGATGAACTCGTGGTTTCACTTAGTTTGCTGACGCTATAGTACGGCATGATTTCACACTTGCATCCACTTCCGGGCTGAAATTGTAGAGTGTCAAAGATTGACGCCAAGAGAGTTTGGGCATTTTTTTCCTCAGCGCGGTGGTTTTGTTCTTCTGTAGGTGTGCAGTGCAACACCGTTCAATCTTTATGTGATTTTATGTGCAATATTGGGCGTTTCGGCAATTCACAAGATTGTGTGGATGCATGCCCAAGATTAAATTGGTTCAAACATGTGAAGGACAACTTTTGCGGACCAACCAATCAATCAATAAATTGGACCAAACTTCCACAGGGGTCAGCACGCAACAGTAGCTGTAGCTGGTTGACGAGAGCATGGCGGAAACTTTGATACAGTGCAGAGTGCAAACAACTTTGATATACTCGTACATTGAAAGCTAACCACAAAGCTAAACGTTGAATCGTACTTTTGAACATGGAATTTTGATTTTGAGTATACTTGAAATATCTTGCAATCTCCGATGAAACCTGAAAACATCCGATTTGAATCTATTTGAAGTATATAATCATCATCACAATCACCACAATCATCACAATCACCACAATCATCACCAGACCAGACCATAACCCTAAGAATCATCCCCAACAAAAGTCTCGGAACTGGCGATTTGTTCTGTGGTCCATCACATCACTGCCATTGCCATCCAGCTGGAGTGCCATGTCTCGGGGCGCCGGGCTTCGAAGTCCGAATCTTGGAACGTGGCGAGGGCGATTTCCGAAGTTTAGGGCTTGGGATATGGCACGGTTGGTTCAAAATGACTCAAACACAGTTTCTTCAAAGATTCTGTATTGGCCCTGAGATTTTAGATGATTTTAGAGTTTGGAGTGTAATTTTCGGTATTCACTTGCAGAGCAACATGGATGAATGTCGTGCACACATATTTTCTGCTGTTTTTGGCTGATCCTTGCAGAAAATGACAAACACGCAAGTATAAGATGTGGCTGGCGGCTTTGAATATGTCCGGGCTTTCCTACCAAACAGATGAAATGATTCTCCCTATTGGCGTTCATATTTTGGGGCCTCGGGTGGCTCAAAACCTGGGTGAGTTTTCATCTAATTTTGCTGGGTTGGTATCCAGTTACGTCGCCCACTTTTTCTCCTACAATAGTGGGTCCCATACAGAGTGATATCCTCATGCAATTGGGGATGCACCATTTCACACAGCTTGATGTTTAACCGTCTTCTGACACATATGGCAAATCCCAATTTTTGGTGAAACAAACTTCCATTTCTGCAGAATTTCGAGCCTCCCATCTTTGTGGATCAAATCTTCACATTTTTTGCCCTGGAAAATCGCTGGCTTTCTGTCGTTCCACCCCGATGGATCCGACCTTTTTCGGTAGGATGCCGTTTGGCGCCTGGACGGAGGAGGATTGGCGCTTGAGGGACCGGCGCCAACCAGGTGCCGATCGACTTTTTCCACACTTGGACGTGGTGCAGTTCC